ACTTTGTACTATGGTAATCCTACGTTTTCTGGCATTGTAGTATGGTAATACTATGTTTTAAGATGTCAAAATATGGTAATACTATGCTTTTTCAATATGGTGCCAGGGAGCGTGTTTGGATAATAATCTGTGTAGGTTAAAAAATAAATAATAATAATCTGTGCAGGTTCTGATGTACTGTTACTCTGTGCTCATGTTCAGCATGGAGTTGCCTGCTGCTTACTGCACAGTACATACTGTATACTGTATATGAAACAATATTCAGTGCTGATTTATGTTTTGTTTTTATTTAACAATGACATTGTAGTATGGTAATACTATGTTTGAGGACATCATAGCATGGTAATACTATGTTTTTTTTCAGTACATTACTATGGTATAGCCACATTTTTTGATACTGTACTATGGTAATACTATGTTTTTGGACATTCAGGTATGGCAGTACCATGTTTTTTTAATATGATGCCATGGTAATACTAAGTATTTTAACATGGTACTATGGTAAATCTATGTTTTTGGATTTGGATTTGTTTTTAAATATAATGTTATTGTAATACTACATTTTTGGACATTGTACCATGCTAATACTATGTTTTATTCATTACACAAAATTCTGTAAAAAATGCAGAGTAAACATTTAATTCTGTAATCATGACCACTTTGTAAGTTATATGAGAATATTGTAGCATGCTTACATTTATCTTCACATACCGCATATTGTTACATATACTGAGACTCATTCATGAAACATACGATACATATTGCATTAACTGTTGCAATCAGTTCAGTAAAACAGTTCACGAATGGATTCATGAATTTGCACAGCTTGTGTATAATAAATTAGGCTTTTTATATAAAATAGTAGGCAGTTTACAGTATGCAGGTATTCCATGCATTTCAAAAGGTTGTAAAGAACTAGAGACTGTGACTTAAACATGCAACTGGTTTGTCGACTAGTTCCCTCATTTAAACAGCCAATATGGAGCGTAAGAGAGCGCTGCTGTGAGAGATAGAGAGAGAAAGACATGCATGAGGAGAGAGGGGGACCTGGGCAGAGGAAGCTGGTTACTGCAGCAGTCTGTAACTAGGTCAGGTTGAGACTGAAGACAAACAGAGAAAGAGAGAGGAGGGAGGCTTATGGGATGAAACAGGTATACTTTACATTTAAAAAAAGAGTTGTGCGTTCATGTTCACCTGTGATCAGCACCTGTCCTCTTCAGAGCTGTCGTTCGCTGTGCTCTTATTCACCCTTTTTTTCTTTGTTTTCCATATTTCTGATTCCATTTGATTTGGTAAGATGATTTCATGTGCTGGAAATGTGAAAAAGAACGAAATGTCTGCTCAGCAATACATATTGAAAATCGCTTTAATACACTGTAAAAAATGGCGTTGGATTTACTTCAAAACAAGTACTACTTTTACTCTGATTGCTAGTAAATATCACAAATAATAAAAGAAATTGAATTAATTAAATGTGAATTTTTGGAAGTAAAAATATTGAAAAATAGTGTTTTCTTGTAATCATATTCCTGGTAGCATAATTCCAAATATTTCTTATTTTAAGATGGTTTAGAGTGATTATATATGCTGCAAATGTGGAAAAAAAATTACAAAGAAACTGCTATTAGCTCTATATGAAATAAATGTGAAATTTCGAAGTAAATACTGAAACAATATTTTCTTGTAATCCTATTTCTGATTGCATGATTCCAAATATTTCCCTTTCTTAAGATGTTTCAGGGTGATTTGAGCTACAAATTATTTCACTCAGACTTTTCATTGAGAAACTGCTATTTACAACTTAAACATTTTTGTACAGTGTATCTAATAGTATCTTAAAGGATACTTTTAAAGGCTGTTTTAAAGGATACTAATTTTCCAACTCCCCTAGAGTTAAACAGTTGAGTTTTACCGTTTTCGAATCCATTCAGCCGATCTCCGGGTCTGGCGGTAGCACTTTTAGCTGTAGCTTAGCATAGATCATTGAATCTGATTAGACCGTTAGCATCTCGCTCAAAAATGACCAAAGAGTTTCTATATTTTTCCTATTTAAAACTTGACTCTTCTGTAGTTACATCGTGTACTAAGACCGATGGAAAATGAAAAGTTGCGATTTTCTAGGCCGATATGGCTAGAAACTATACTCTCATTCCGGCGTAATAATCAAGGAACTTTGCTGCCGGACCACGGGTGCAGCAGGCGCAATGATATTACGCAGGCGCCTGAAAATAGGCTAACTTCTGTCAACATAACCAAGTGACCACTTGCTTGCACAGGGAGCGTGCTGGGGACTATTTTCAGGCGCTGCGTAATATCATTGCCTTAGTACACGATGTAACTACAGAAGAGTCAAGTTTTAAATAGGAAAAATATAGAAATTCGTTGGTAATTTTTGATCGAGATGCTAACGGGATATTACGCAGTGCCTGAAAATAGGCTAACTTCTGTCAACATAACCAAGTGACCACTTGCTTGCGTAATATCATTGCCTTAGTACACGATGTAACTATAGAAGAGTCAAGTTTTAAATAGGAAAAATATAGAAATTCGTTGGTCATTTTTGAGCGAGATGCTAACGGTCTAATCAGATTCAATGATCTATGCTAAGCTACAGCTAAAAGTGCTACCGCCAGACCCGGAGATCGGCTGAATGGATTTGAAAACGGTAAAACCCAACTGTTTAACTCTAGGGGAGTTGGAAAATTAGCCTATTTTCAAAAATAGTGGCGTGTTCCTTTAATGAAAATTTTAAATGCAAAAGTTTACAAATGTCATTATAGAAATAGAAAAATATGTTGAGCACAACGGAAAGTCTCAGGAATGATAGAGAAACAAGTGTGCGTGTGTTAGAGAGGGAGGGAGAAGGTTCGGTACAAATCCTGGGCAGCCTGTGAAACAAAGCAGTCTTGGATGGAGGGATAAATGGAGCAAGCAGATAGAGGGGTGGAGTGGAGGAGAAGCTTTCAACGCTATGTCCTCACTGCCTGGAACAGTTCATGCACATGAGTGGCTCTGAGTGTGTGTGAGAGATCTCTATATAAATACATGTTTGATCTTTCTCTATTATACTCGGCAAGCAAAGGCTTGTGAATTTGAGAGAGAAATTGCTTGCATAATCAGATGGTTGCATGAATATAAAATTTTTGTCAGTTTTCGACTAAAGCTAATCACAACAGGGTGATTTCCTAACAGGTGTCAGTCACACACCAGTCATGGACCTCTGAGCTTTCAGTGGCCTTTTATTCTGTGGGTTACAGTCGGATGTAAATTAGTGTGTAAAAAGAATTCAGGTGAGATGATACTAATGTAGATCAGAGTTTTCTGTGTGTATGTGTGTACGTCAGGACCTAGTTTAGGTTCTGGCACACTTTTGAGGGGACCAAATACAGAGGAATGAGTATCCAGGGACCAGAAGAGGGTTTCTCATGCTGGAATGAGGAAATTGATTATTATTATTATCATTATTACCATCATTGTTATGTTCATTTGTCCAACTGTTTATAGAAAGCAAGCACTCGTTTTACATAAATATGAATGTGAATTATAAATAATACCTATATTTTCTATTAACTTTATAATTATATTATATTGTATTATACTATTGTAAATAATATTTTATTAGTAAAATCCTACAGAAAAAAATGATTTAGGTATTACATTTTATATATTATATCTGTATTTTATTGTAAAATCTAAATTCTCTTGGTGCAAGTCCAAGTCTAATTTTCAATACACTGCATGTTTTATAATATATCGTTTTTTAAGCTTTGTCAAAAAGCCAACAACTGCATATGTCATGTTTTCTATTTCTGATGTTGCAATTCAATTTTTTATGAATCTAATTTTTTTATGAAGTCTCAAGTTTTTTGGGGGGCGGCTCTTTTTTGTGCATTTTGAGTCCAAGTATCTGTGTTTTCATTTATTGAAATAAAGCTGAAATATATATATATACATATATATATATATGATATAAGACGAAAACTTAAACAAAATTTGAAATGTTGCCTTGAAGTAATAAAACAGGTTTAAGATGGGGTACTAAATAAATAAATAGAAATAGAAACAACTAAAACTATTACAAATGACAAAAGCACGCAAGAGAATTACCAAAACGTAAACTAAAATGAAAACAATATATATAAAAGCTAATTCAAAATGTTAATAAATACTAATGCTAAAATACCACAGGTGTCTACCTAATGCATAAAAAAATGTTATATAATAATATATAATGCATAATGTGGGTTCCAGCAGAATGGATATCTCTAACTGAAGCAAGGTTGTGGGTTTGCGTCCCACCAGTTTGGCGCAGTGGTTAAAGCTTATGGCTGGAAACTTCCGGATGCTGGTTTGGGTCATTAGCTATTAGCAAAGTGTCCTTGAGCAGGGCACTTAACTTCAGGTTACTCCGCAGGGATTGTGTCGGTAATAAGTGTACCGTAAATTCCTTTGGATAAAAGCATCTCCTTACCGGAACAATGCAGGATTGTTAATTTAAGTTTATTTGTATAGCACTTTCATAATACATATTTGTTTCAAAGCAGCTTTTAAAATGAGCAAGTTATCAATCATTTTTTTAGTTATAAAATGTTTGAAAAAATTAGGAGAATGATAAACCCTCAGAATATAGATGGGAATGAAACTGTAAAATTTGGTGTAAGTGCTGCTTAAAACTAATTCACAGAAAACAGCCTTTAAAAACGAGCACTGTAATTTCAAACTACAGGTGCAAATAGATATAGCAGTGCAATAAAATAAAGATTTTATGTTTTCTTTACTAGTCTAAAAAAAACAACACATTATGAAAAGCCAATCTCAAAACTGACCAGTGCATGAAAAAGAAAAGACTTGTACTTTACTTGTAGTGTCTTGCCTTAAGCAGACTCAACAAATGTTGACTTACAACTTGTGCTTGTAATATTGGAACAGCTTTGTATGTTGATCCATCATTTGTCGAACTCTCTCTTTCTTTCTTGCTTTCTTTCTTTCTCATTTTTCAGTATGTGGCATGCGGATCCCTTCTGTTCATCCTCATCTCCATTTCCACCTTCTGCATGGAGACGCACGAAGCGTTCAACACCATCTACAACAAAACGGAGAACGTGACGGAGGGGAACGTGACGAGAGAGGAGATTGTGTACGAGGTGGTGACGGACAGATGGCTGATGTACGTGGAGGGAATGTGCGTGATCTGGTTCACCATCGAGGTGTTCACGCGCATCGTCTTCTGCCCCGACAAGGCCGAGTTCTTCAAGAGCATGCTGAACATCATCGACTTTGTGGCAATCCTGCCTTTCTACCTAGAGGTCAGTCTGAGCGGACTCTCCTCCAAAGCGGCGAAAGACGTGCTGGGCTTCCTGCGAGTGGTGCGCTTTGTCCGAATCCTGCGCATCTTCAAGCTGACGCGCCACTTCGTGGGCTTGCGCGTTCTGGGGCACACGCTTCGCGCAAGTACCAACGAATTCCTCCTGCTCATCATCTTCCTCGCTCTCGGCGTCCTCATCTTCGCCACCATGATCTACTACGCCGAGAGGATAGGAGCCAGTCCGGACGACCCTACGGCGAGCAAGCACACCACCTTCAAGAACATCCCCATTGGTTTCTGGTGGGCCGTGGTGACCATGACCACTTTAGGCTATGGAGATATGTATCCGGAGACGTGGTCGGGCATGCTGGTGGGGGCGCTGTGTGCCCTCGCGGGGGTGCTGACTATTGCCATGCCCGTCCCCGTCATTGTGAACAACTTCGGCATGTATTACTCTCTGGCCATGGCCAAGCAGAAGCTGCCCAAAAAGAAGAACAAACACATCCCGCGAGCCCCGCAACCCGGCTCGCCCAATTACTGCAAGCCGGATGCCCTCGCCATGGCAACGGCCTCGCCCCAGAGGATCCTGGGTAACGTGCTGGGCGGCGTGCTGGGCTCGAGCGGGATGACGAGGGACTGTCCTCTAGCTCAGGAGGAGATCATAGAGATTAACAGAGGTGAGAGACTGAAGGGATACACACAGATTTTCATATTATGCACCAAAAAGTCTTTCATTGACTGGTTTTAAACTCGTGGTGGATTCTGTAAAGTTTTGGATATAAGGAGCTTCTTCAACAATATGGTCAAAAAAATTTTATGACAGTACTGATTTACATTAGCTTGTTGAAGTGGTTGATATGACTAATATATCATAATATAGTTCATTTAGCTTGAAATAAAATTAAATATAATAATATAAATATAATTTTTTATATTATATTAAATGTAATTCAATTTATAGTTATTTTAGTGTAGTTATTTTAATCCAACTATAAAAATAATTATTTCTGTTGATTTCCAAGCTTGTATGTGTGTTTATGTATATGAAATATATTTTATGTATATCTATATTTGTATTATTTTTGTAATATTTTATATTATATTACTTTTTATACTGTATAAATCTTCATACAAATAATTTATTATAAATATAATTTTATTTAAATATATTTTATATATATTTTATAATTTTATGTCATATATCTAAAATGTTATTTTTATATTTTATTTCATTCTAGATATTATATATTAGATGTTTATATTTATGTATTTAATAACTTTTTAATAGCTATTAATAGCTTTTTTGGGATAAATCTGTGAATTTAATACTTTAAAAATGAAACTTAACTCAATTAAAGTGATATTTGAGTTAAAAATACAATTTAGCCACAACTATTAAAGACATCTGAAGATAACCAAAAGATGTTTTGGAGCTGTGTGGGGAAAACACTTTTGGGTGCATTGTTAAAATGATGTTAAAAACGCTACAATACAACATACAGTCCTTACACTGTACAACAGCATGTGTATTTGTGAGTGTGAGTGTTTTTTTCCAGATGGACTGCTCTTCCTGCTAATGTCATGTCTATTATCAATTATTCATTGTTTTTTAAACCTGGAAGTCTCTAATCGATCTATAGGGTCACTATAAGTTCTACATGCGTTCTAAAAGACACAGAACAGGAAAAGGGCAATGCATAAACCTTGCCTTGTATTTAATTTTTCTTAACTAGTCTATCTATATCATCAGCTTATCTTGTTGCCATCACGTTATTTACAGACATATGTATATATGTACATATACGTTGTAATTTCTTTGTTTAGGACATGATAGGTAGTTTCTCTTTTAGGAAGAGCAGCTACTAGCTACTGTTCTTTAACTTACATTTTACAAGCACATTTATTATTTGTTTATAGTATTATTTAGATATATAGTTTTTATTAGTATTTTGATTCATATTATTATTCATTGATTCATATTTTTTGTTTTATTTACAGTTAGTACTTTCAGTTTTTCAACTCAAACATTTCTAATTTTGATGTATTTTTATGTTATATATTTTATTTCAGCTTTATTTTGTGTTGTGTTTATGTTTCAGTTCACAATAACAACCCTGTTAAAAAAGTGATTAAATTCCTTATTCACTGCAACAGTGCTAGATTTTAAAGGGTCATATGATGCGATTTCAATTTTTCCTTTCTCTTTGGAGTGTTACAAGCTCTTGGTGCATAAAGAAGATCTGTAAAGTTGCAAAGACTAAAGTCTCAAATCCAAAGAGATATTCTTTATAAAAGTTAAGAGTTAGCCACGCCCCCGCCTAAAACGGCTCGTTCTAACACGCCCCCACATATCTACGTCACTATGTGGGAAGATTTGCATAATGCCGCCCAAATGTTCATGCAAAGAAAGAAGGCGTAACTTTTATTCTCGCTGTAGTATTGTTGCCGCCGCCATGTCGTGAAGGCGCTGTGTTTCGCTGTGAAAGCAAAACTACTTTGTTTGGTCTTCCAAAAGAGGACGATATCGCTTCGTCATGCGTAGAGCTGATCCGTGCTGGTTGCTGAGGAAAACTTCGCGCTGTGGATCGCCGGATCAGCTTTCACCGTGGACGAAGCGGAGTCCAGCCCGGGGTCGTCACATGTGGTTGCCGCAGGCATCACAGTATGGTAAGGGACGTAACATTTCCGTCATACGCTTGAGGAATTCGGCCAATCACAACGCACTGGATAGCTGGCCAATCAGAGCACACCTTGCTTTTTCAGACCGATGAGCTTTGTAAAAATCGACGCGTTTCAGAAAAGCGGGGCATAGAGGAGAAACAATAATGTACAGTATGTGGAAAATAATGTGTTTTTTGAACCTTAAACCGCATAAACACATTTCATTACACCAAATACACAAAATAATGTTCTTTGTAGCAGCATCATATGACCCCTTTAAATACTTTTTTTAGTGTTGATTTATGCACAAGCCATTGTTTTGAGTCATTTGAATAAGTTCTCAGAACTGGTGTGAATGATTTAATGATTCAGTTCTCAAATGACTCAAGGAAGGAACAAAAGTCATACAGGTTGAGAACGACATGACGTCTCTCTCTCTCTTTCTCTCTCTCTCTCTCTCTCTCTCTGTTCATTCGTGTCTTTCCTCAGACTCAAAGCAGAACGGTGACGCAGCCAGCGCCGCTCTAGCAAACGAGGACTGTCCAACAATTGATCAGGTTCTTAGTCCGGACGAGCGCAGCCCGGTGGGCCGAACACAAGAACGCTACCAGCAGGACAGAGCCTGCTTCCTCCTCAACACGCGCGAGTTTCGACCCACTGATGGGAATGTGCGGAAAGGTACGTTTTAGTGCTTCTGCATGCGGGTTACACACACACAGTCACACAGTCATGCAGTGAAGGAAACATCAGTCTCGGCCCAGTCCCAGTGTCTGTGACAGACATATTAGATCTTACAGATCTAGTTGCACACACAAGCGTCCTTTAACAATGTTCCAAAAAACGAGTTTTACATCCCCATCTCACGCCATCTCCTCGTGCCCATCTCTCCAAAAATACAGATTACATAACCACTGAACATCTCAGGGTGTTTTCACACTTGGTTGGTTTCAGGAGGCTGAGAGCATTTACAAGAAGTCTGGCTTAAATTTCAAGTCAAATCAAATTTATTTGTGTAGCGCTTTTTACAATACATTTTGTTTCAAAAGCACATTTACAGAAAATCATTATGTTAATGATTATATTTACACAATGTTTACGTATTTACATCTTAATATCCTAATGTACAATAATATACTTCACATTTTACCACAATGAACACTAGGAAAATATCTGAATAAATTCAGAGGGAAACCAAGATTTTAACAGATTGACAGATATTTTTCTTGTTTTAAGCATAAACCCACTTAATTTTTTTCAGAAAACAAGAAGAGTAATAAACATTTTTCTTGGTTTAGGAATTTTTAGACATCTATAGTGGAACACAAGACTAAAATACAAAATAATAAAATCATTTTTTGCAATGAAGTTATGAACTGCTTTTTGCAAATATATAAACCTTTTTTATATAAATATATGACTTTTTTGTTTTAGGAATGTGAATAGGCTTACACATTTGCACATATACACATACACATATATGATTTACTATAAACTCATTCATTTTGAGACAATTTAGCTCCATGCTAAAGGACATGTGCAGCTTATGTTTTTTAATGCAGATGTTAATAAATTAATTTATGAATTAAAAAATAATAAATAATATTTAAATATACAGAATAAGAAAATAAATAAATACTAAATAAAATAAAGATTATTAAAAAATCATTTTTAACTACACACATAAATGTCTTTTATGCAAAAACGAAGGCTGGAGCATTTAAACACACCAACTCTGGTGCATCAATTTGAAAAAATCATTACAGAAATATATTAATATTTTATATTACATGTACATTTCTGAACCAATAGCGGCACCAAATGAAATTGCAAAAGTATTGAACAGATGGACCTACCCCAAACTTAGACACTTTTTAGGCCAGAAACAGTGTGAATACAAAGTGAACTGGTTTATTTTTTGGTCCACCTCAAGGAATCTACATTTGGTTAGTTTAGGATTCAAGTGTGAAAGCATCCTTAAAAACACACTGAAATCTGAAAAATCTTTTTTTTTTTTAACTTTTTTCTTTTCCTCTTCTCTTTTTATCTTCTCTGTCTTTCTCTATTTATGTTTGGTGGTTCTTTGCATGTCTATTTTACTCAATTCTGTTTCTTTCCTGACATGCACTATCCTCTTTTTACCCTCTATTCTTCCATTCTCTCAATTTCTTTTTTCCATTGCATTTTCCTTGATCCTATTCGTCTTCGTTTCAGTGACAAACCTTCTTTTACACACGACATCATCCCACAAAACTTTGTGACCCTGCACTGTCACCTCCAACAGCCACAAAAATCTCCTCTCTACCTATAAAATCACACAACAAATGATACAAACGATGTCCGATCCATGCACGCGCAATTCTCCAAACCCCCGGTTGCCCTTTCCTCAACACAACCCAACTACATTTGGCACTGTTAGCATCAGGAGATGCCATCCTACCCTTACAGATGAATGAAATCAGAGGTAAAAACCAACCACAGAAATAGAAACATACTAAACATGCATGCACATAAAGTTCAATTGTTCAAACCAAATTTGGACAGAAACAAAACACAAGCACAATTACACCTGCATGGGTGTTGTTGTTGTTGATGGGTGTAATGTTTCGTGTTGATGTTGTGTTGTTGTCCTAATAAACTGTCATTAGTTTCATTAGTTAAAGGAAATGAATCTAATGTTGTATAATGCTGCTGAATATGAGTTTGAGGTTGGGTTTCTGACAGATGCATTTGCTCTCATATGTTTTTGCACCGCTTAAACTGCTGACCATCCCGCTCTGGACAGTCAATGATAAAAATGTCTGTGCACTGGGGAGAATTTATCACCCAGTTTAACACCAGACATGAAGAAAACTCAGCACAAATACAGTGAGATGGCACAAATCTGCATTTGTCTGACACCCTGTGTAGAGGACAGATGACTAAGCGATTAAATGTATTTACTGGAATATTCCAGGTTATTTTCAACTTCTAAATCGTGCTTTTGAGGGAATTTAGATCAAGAAGAATCCTCTGTCGAACCAGCTGCATGTGCACTGGGCTGAACAATCATGCAACTGATAATGTATAATATGAAAAATAGATATTATTTAAAAGATTAAAGATTGCGTTTTATTAGTTAATTGAAGTTAATCAAATAGGGCATAGGTCATCTAAATGTAAAAATAAAGAAAATGAGCACTAATTAAATATTCCATTTTGACTGATACTAATAAATCATGATAGTTATGATAGGTTAGGGTTACCCGCTAGGCTTCTGTTGTTATTGTATGACTGTAAAATTGTTAGGTTGAAAATAACCTGGAATGTTTAAAGATGCTTTAAAGTGTTGTATAAACGTACCGTCTCATGAAGAGAGCAGAAACCCAATCTTTACTCGGATGTATTCAGGTCTGTTACACTAACCTCATACTCTCTATTGAGTATTACATGTATGAGGGACAAAGTTGGACACTGTAGAGTTTGTGTAACAAAGATTGTTTTCAATGTCATATGAGATCCACTGCAATTACAATTGGAACTGCAGCTGCTGCAGTGTGTGTGTGTGTGTGTGTGTTTTCAGTGGGATCTCACACGCTCTGTATTGTCTTTTTCTTCAGGTTGTGTCATATCCCGTGTTTGTATGTTGGCTTCTTCATATATTCTCTCACTGTTCTACTGTCTTCCCCCGTCCTCCTCCTCCTCGCTGTGTGTGTGCGCGCGTGTGCGCGCGTGTGTTGTGTTTGTTGTGACGTGACGTCGCTTATTGTGTTTTCAATGTGTTTCCCTCACTCCACCAGTGACCTTTAACCCTGGTGCGATGGAGGACGCGCACCGAGGCAACGCTTAACACTGCACACACATAGAAAACAGACTCAAAGGTTGTTTAGGTGTTCGCTGTGCCGAGTTGAGTCACCCCAGGGTTAAAGGTCAGGGGTCGATAGAGGTCAAGATGAATTCAAATGAGCGCGAGTTCATGGTTCTGTGCCATGCTGCGAACACCGCATTCACTCCAAAAAAATACCTAGGCCCAAATTTAAGATTTATGTATTTGAATTGCATAAAATCCAGTCTGATTACACAGTTTGAATGTAAACAATCTAATAACGTTAATGTGATGCATGAAACAGGTAAGATTTCTGCACTCAAAAAACATTTTGCACCTGTTTGATTCAAGGTTATTAACCGTTAATTAAAACAGAAATTAAAACTATAAATAAATGTTGCTACTTGAAATAAAGCTTAACTGAAATAATTAATTTATTATATTTCAGCTAGTTGTCAAGGCAGCATTGCTCATTTTATTTAGTTTAGTCTGTGTATGTGGGTGTAAATTTGCATTTAATAATTTTAGTTTAACTGTAAGTACTAAAATATCTCAAATTAAATCAACTAAAATGAATAAACAAAAACAAAAAATTACTAAAATATTATTTTAATTATTAATTAAACAATAAAAACACAACAAAATTACTAAAACTGTTACTACTTAACTATTTAAAACTTAAACAAAATAGAAAAATCTAATCTAATTTCAAATATTAACAAATGCTATAATACTAGATCAATGATAATAAAATAGCACTGTTTTGGTTTTATTCAAATTTCTTAACATCAATTCATTGTTAAAAAATGTCATTTATTGTGTTAAAACAGATGAACATTGTTATGGCTAGCTGTAGATGTATGAGATTAAAACACTTTGAATGTATTGATAATAAATATTTAAACCTGGTTATTGTATATTTAAAACATATTCAGTTTATTAGTACTTTTTACAGAAATCCTACCAGTTTCATGAATGTATGACTGACAAATATGCAACACATTAAGTTTATTAGTTTGTTTGTTGGAACTGGATGGAAATTTTATATTGCAGTTCAAATACACAAACCTTAAATGTAAGGCTAAATATTTCGTGTTTTTTTGCTGCAAGTTGCAACACTTTGAAGCTATTAGAAAGTGACAGGGAGGTCGGGAAAAACCACAGGCCGATGAAGAAAAGAGTGTTTATGTGTGGCACAGTCCTATGAATCTGCTCATACGACCTCAACCTGATTCAGTTCCTAGCGTAGCCGGAAACTCCTACATGTGTGCGACGGTCTGTGTGTGTGTGTGTGTGTGTGTGTGTGTGTGTGCTGTGTAACTGACGTCTGACTGACTGGTTGACAGACAGACACTGGGATATTTGGACAGACTCAAAGACAGACTGACATTGAGAAGGTAAGAACGAACCGTGGTAAAAGCCTAGCCCACGTTCCCCCGGCATTTATCCTGGGCTTCAGCAAGGCGTCGTCTCCTGGAAGGCAGTCGCTCTCAGTCACTTTAACATCCAGAGCACATCGGGTGTCTGTTGAGGATATGTGTATGTGTGAGTTCTGCTATATGACTAAAGCATCTTCTTAACTGTCTCTACCTAAACTACCATCCGGGCTCTGTTACAAAACCTAGTGAGCAAACATCTACATATACTGTAGTATAGAGCATATAAAACAGATACATTAGTTTCATAGTTTCACATTTTTACCTGACATTAGAAATGAAAACGAAACCGATAATATTCTCTGATTGTAAAGTAACGTATTGAGGAAATAAATATCCTTAAATATTTTTAATTTATTTATTATGACATTTTTTTAATTATTATTTATATATTTATTTAAAAAACACTTTTTTTAAAATATATGTATTTTTATTTAGCT